CGCCCCCCCTGCCCGCCGGCCTCCGCTCACTCTAACCCCCGGCCTCCGCTCACTCTAGCCGCAGGCTTTTAGATGAAAACGACGAAAACGTCGTTTTTTTTTAGACGAAAACGTCCAAAAGGTTGCACAAGGGTTAAAAGTCATATTTTCGTTGGCAAAATTGAACAAGACGCACAATGTTGTGTTTAAATTTTGCACAATATTAACTTCTTATTTACTGAAGTGTTGTTCACTGCACTTGTAGTCTTCGTGACAAAATCATCACTCAAAATCATATCACTGCTGGTGTGATATCGATGATCATGTGATATAAATATAAGACAAAAACTCATACAGGGGCATTTTTTGGCCCAATATCTTGAATTTTTAGGGCATAACTGCATTTATGGAGTTGTTGTCCTGCATCATATTTGATGACGCACAGGTTTGGGGGCGGGGCCAGCGCGTTAACTGCGTTATTTATTCATAACTAATTAATTAAAGGTGACATATCATGAAAATCTGTTTAAATCAGCAGTGGATTTATTGATTTATTTACTGTATATTGCTGCTGCCACACAGATCTAAAATAAACATGCGATTTCACTCTAACCGCCAGCCTCCGCTCACTCTAACCCACCGGCCTCTGCTCACTCTAACCCATGGCCTCCGCTCACTCTAACCCACCGGCCTCCGCTCACTCTAACCCCCGGCCTCCGCTCACTCTAGCCGCAGGCTTTTAGATGAAAACGACGAAAACGTCCTTTTTTTTTAGACGAAAACGTCCAAAAGGTTGCACAAGGGTTAAAAGTCATATTTTCGTTGGCAAAATTGAACAAGACGCACAATGTTGTGTTTAAATTTTGCACAATATTAACTTCTTATTTACTGAAGTGTTGTTCACTGCACTTGTAGTCTTCGTGACAAAATCATCACTCAAAATCATATCACTGCTGGTGTGATATCGATGATCATGTGATATAAATATAAGACAAAAACTCATACAGGGGCATTTTTTGGCCCAATATCTTGAATTTTTAGGGCATAAATTACATATTGTAAAAAGGGACATAATATGTCTCCTTTAAGTAAATGCATTAAACTGACGGCCCTAGTTTTTTCCCACTGTGTGTGTTATCAGAGCTGAAGTTCTCGGTCTTCGCTCCGTCTGCGGTGGCCTGCTCGTGTGTGACGGCAGCCGTGATCAGACTGGATGTCCTAAAGAACGAATACGGCCCCGACGGCCTGCTGCAGCTGCTGAGAGACGTCCTGGACACGGACATGGTGAGGACACATTCACTCGTAACTAGGGATGTAACGATTCACTCAACTCACGATTCGATTCACGATTTTGATTTCCCGATTCGATTCACGATTTAAGACAAATGATAAATTAAATGTGTCCTTTTATTATTGCTTGGACAAAATGCTGCACGTTTCTTTGTGAAATTGAAATATAACACTATAATAATATACTAATATAGCACTTGCA